TTCTTTGCTGTCATCTAGCAGGGACTCGAGATGTGCGAAACCAAAGGCTCTGTAGAAACAGTTCCCATCAGGTCGCGTCTTACGAATGTACGAGTATTTTTTGTATAGGTCCTGCAGAAAACAAAAGGAATTATACCATATTTTTAACCGAAATCTCCTGAATTTGAGAATGTAAATATGTGATCGTTTTGGAGAAAATGGTGCCCCGGTCTCGGCAGGAAACGTATCATGATATGGGTGCAGTAACCTGAGAGCAGGTGCTGTGGTTTGACTGACCTTGATCTTGAGCTGATAAATTGTGTCATCCTCAGCATACTCCCTCTGCAGCACAGACAGCTCCTGTCTGTCCGACACTAAAGGGTTACTGTTGGCTATCTAGAAAACCACACACAGAAAATGTACATTGATAAAAGCACTGACAACACTAATGCGTGAGCCTGTCATGATCAGCTGTGGGGTGTTGATAGTCTTGACAAGGGTTATGATTTTGTCCAACAAAAATAGTCAAGGTTGAGGTTTCTAGCTTGTTAATTAAATAAAGGGAAATCATAAGGGAAATAAATCAAAAAACATCTAATGGTGTGATGGAACCTGCATACAAATGGTTCAACTGTTCCCACACATCCGTTTTAAAGATTTGTACCTGTATTAAAAATGAGCGGAATGTAATACCGTGTTCATCCTATTTCTTTGAAGAAAGGAAATGACAAGCCCTCCATTTATAATACCTTTATAATACCAAAAGGAACTTCTCACCTCCTGCTGAATTCTGTCCTGTTGAGCAATTATGGCCTCGTCATATGCGAGGCAGTTCACTCCTGTAAGATGAAGAAGGCGACAAATCAGGCTTCAGGGTTAAATACTCAAAAAGGACACTGATAGGCGGATTTGACTGCAGAGTTTGTATAGCACTGAACTCCGCAGTTCCTCCGGAGGCGGTGCACTTCTGAAGCAAATGTGCGAGTGAGATGCTCTGCAGTTTCTGCAGACTTTCTCCGCCTTCCGTCCTGGTATAAAGTCAGTAGAAATTCAGGAAAATTTTATGTGAGAACACAGCAGGGGATCCCACGCTGGATTCACAGAGAGGGGGGTTGATGATGATGCTTCTAACATGTGACACAAGCAAAAGTATATATAAATATATATCTCCCGGTGAAAAAGTGGTGCCATACACATCAAAGACACTGACAAAGATGTCAAGAGAGTTTGCGGTGATAAGAGCTCACATTGGTGTCTCTGCAGCGGAGTTAAATCGTTACTTCCTGCCTCTGCTTGCTGCACATGGCTGCTCAATGTCTTGTATGAATTATGTGGACATTTTGTTGCTGTTGTGAACGCATCTGTGCAGAGAACAATAGTTAAATGCGGGTAAACTTCCTATCCGTATCTGACGTGCAGGTCATGTCTGAAAATGGCTTAATGAGGCCTGTGCTAATTGGGCATATCAGAATAGAAAAACTGGACAGGTCAGAACTTTCATCTGTAAAACCTTAAACACACAGTTGCAATGTTAGAGGAATGTGAATGAGTAGAAACATTGCTATGCAAATAGCTAAGGGAATTGCATTGTGATACAATATGCAATACATGGTCTGTGATAACGATAATAACACAATTCTGTGGTAATCAATATACTGCAAGACAATCATATAACTTTACATCATGATATCTGCCTTACTTGAAGAATAGCACAGATTCCCTTAAGAATTGTATTGAGTATTGATACAAACTGAGAAGAAACAATTTACAATAAATTGCACAGACCTATGGATATCAGTCCATGATTCCCTGGGTAATTGCTGCCTGATCTGGATCTACAACAAAATTTAATGCTTCACCCCTCCGCAAAATATCATGGAATTCGGTTTAGGAACTCTTCTCACTAAAGAACAAACAGACTAATTCATAACAAACGTATATTTTGGGGCCACTTAACGGATAGGATTAAATTAGGGTTGAAAATGTGCACAAAAACGAACCTGTTTTGCTACCAGGGATCGATTTTAGCCAAGCTAGCTACAATCACACACCATAGTATCTATACAGTGAGTGAATGCAACCAAAAATGAAAACATGACCATCTCATACTACGATCTATCTGCAATGTGTTATTTCTGGAATTATTCTTCAGCGCTAGTTTCTGGAGGACAGCATGAAAAGCTGCCATGTGTACTCGACATGCACACGTACATCTGCCTGCATTGCTCCTGTTATATAAACAAGGTGGAGGAACAACCTGTACAGAAACTGCTTCCCCCAGGAAGTTAGCCCTTTCTTACTTGATTAACATATACACATCAAACCTCGTGTACTGATCCTTTCCTGTGTATTTATTTCTCTTTCAGACAGTAAGAGGCGACGTGTGAGAGCTTTTTGAAGCTGGTGAAGCCACTGCACTCAGGCAGATAAAAATAGAATCAGAGGGGTATTCTTGTTCTTTAATTTTTTTAAATCTAAAGAAATAAAGACAACAATAAAGTGTTCACGATGGTAGCTACACGTCCGCATTACACCACAAGACGCATTTAGTCCAGAGTCCGTGGTTAACGAGGAAACAAGTTAATCCATAACACCGGCTAACGTCACTCAGCTAAACTTGGCTAGCTGCGACCAGAGCGAAAACAAAACAAATTGCAGTCACGGCGAGTAGCGTCGTTTTAGCAGCTAATTTTGTGCCGTCCCGCCTTTGACGGTATTCCTACACTTTTAATATCGCCTGGGGTGAAACACTCCGGGACTGTCATCAACAACTGCCTCGTCAGAAACGAAACAAATGGCTTTTCTTCCTTTGTGTAGCGACGGTAGCTAACTAGCGTTAGCCAACAAGCCCTGGCCGTGTATGTCCCCATCACCACCGCTGTTATGTTAGCCGCCGCCGCCACCACCACCACCACCACCCGCTGTCACCCCAGACACCGACCCCAACACGGAGCGGACACTCGTGCGGACCGGGCCGCACCAGCACCACGGGTTACCAACCTGTTTTCTCGGTATATTTTCCGCTGTAACGGTTCCCCTCACCCTCCATCTCTCCCTGTGGTGATTCCTGCTGCTCCTCCGCCATCTTAGCTTTCGACTTCTGCTTCCTCCTCCTGCGTGACCTCATCCGTTACACACTTCCGGGCGGTGGCTACCAAAACAAAGATTAAAAATGTTTTTTTTATTTTATTTATTGAATTATTTATTTATGTGACTCTTAAAGAAATCAACAGTCGTATTTCAAGTAACCAAGATGCCCCCATTTTTATTTTTAATTTATTGTATTATTAAGTATTCATGTAGCTCCTCCGTTTAAAAGGAATATGTCCATGTGGAAGGGCTGCAAACTATTTTCACCTTCACTTAAATGTCAGGGTTCAACAAACAGTCAAAACATAAAGAGATTTATTTTAAAACTTCTATAGAATGAGAAAATCATTAAATTCTTGAAGTTTGAGAAACTTAAGTTTGTAGAAAATTGGATTAGAAATTACAAAGGATTCAGACTTGAATTATATCAGTGTTGTATAATGTATTTATCCAACCTGGTGAATTTGATGTGTTAAATTATTAAAGTTACTGATAGAGATAATAGTTAAACTGTCACTTACTGTTCGAAACATCCAAATTGCCCCCTTGACTAAGGGCCACAGCTTAATTCCCAACCAGGCAGAAAAAAAAACCTAAGGTAGAAAATATTTCAGGGACCCTCCTCATATATGTCCCTTGGAATTATTTGATATTGCATATTTTATTGGAAAGATATTAGAAAAAATATTTTCACCATGTTAACACACAATACACATCATTGCACTGCACAAATGTCCTCACCCGAGACTGTAAAACTTCAACTTTCTGTAGGCTGCAGTTATACTGTGCACACGTCAGATTTATCATTCATATTGACAATACCTTTTTTTCCAGTGTTTATAGTATTTTTATACTGTACTATGTTTTTATATTTATGCTGGTTTAAAAGGTGAAGTTGAGAACAAATGTTGTAAAACATTATGTACATTAGGATATAAAAATCATAAAGGTCACTAGAATCTTGTGCATAATTTACCCATTATCTCATGTGTCATTTTGAGGCCCAGCTTCCAAATCTTTAATGTCTTTTATTTTGTAATTGATGCTTGCATACTGCTTATTCTTGAATTAATGTGTGTTTTGTAAAAGAATACCACAAGTCAGTGGGGGAGCAGCTTACCTGATAAGGCAACATAGACTACATACCTATAGGGAGGAACAGGTGGTAGGTAGGGGCCGGCACTTAAAATGTGAGGGGCAAAAACGACATCTGATCTTTTAAATTAACCCCTTAATTAAATTCTACTAGAATCTCAACGGACCTGAGCAAACCAAGAAAACTCAGTATAAAACCCACCATATTTAGCTGATCAAGAAAACAGGATGTATTCCAAAGCCTATTTTGGCATTTAAGTTTTAGCATCCTTTTAGAAAGAACCAAGCACATTTATTTCAACCCATCAATAAAAGCTATAACTATACAAAACCCTCAAAATAACTGAAAAGTACAGCAGTTTTTTTTCTAAATCACAGAGGAATGCAGATTTAGTTTGTAGGCTTATCCAGGTCCCTGCACCTTCCAGCAGTACACATCAGGGGGCACTGTCTACAACTAATACAGCTTACATTAAACTTAATACAATTCCTGTTGGGTGCTATTGCATGATAAGACACATTGCTTTTGCCACAAACTTGCCAGCATATTTTAAACCCAGCATTTGTAACAGATATGTTTTTCTTTTTGATATTTTCCACGGAAAAGGGTGTATTTAGAGACGACAGCATAACACAACACTAACACATATTAAAATAATACTTCATATTTGCAACAACAAAAAAAGAGCAAAAGTAAATTAACATATATCCTCCCTTTGGCACATTGCTTCCCGTTTTAGGGCTGTAACAGAACCCCACAATATTTAGAATTCAAACACACAAATATATTGTATATTTACATGTCAAAAAGAAGTCCACAGATAAACAACACAATATCAAAAATCTCTATCGAAAAACAGTTCATGTAAAATGCCTCTTGGAGAGATATCGTCCTGTCAACCTCCGGTAGACAGAAGAAATACAGTACATGACTGAATGACCACACAATATTTTTGCCTCTTTGGTCTTAGGTGAGTCCAGATTAGCATTTCCAGTAATTCAGAGATGTAAAAAACTAATGAAATTAAAATGTATTATACAAATATTTCACAGGTTTTGCAGCTGTCTTCCCCTTGCGTATATGTGCATCCATGAGGGTGCAAATACATAACATATATTCAATTCATTGTGTCGGTATGTACATGTGTGAAATATATAGTGTTCCTGAATTTTTCCCAGCAACACAGCAGCAGGGTATTTTAATGATGCTTCTACTTTATGTGTTTGATTGGGGAACATGTAGATACTGTAAATTGAATGTATTATTATACTTATTTACTGTGTATTGTAAATGATTGTTCTGAAAATACAACTTCATACCACACTGTAGCTTCAAAGATAGTTTGATGGTTCACTGACTTGGGATATGGATAATGGTGTTTCTTTCATTTCAGTCCTCACCCTGAATGTATCTTTTTTTATCGGTCACTTTGGTGAGCGGGTACCATCACCTGTGAGAGGCGTGACACTGACTGATAGTCGCAACTTAAATGGTCAAAGTCAGGTCCAGAAGGGTTCAAGAGTAAAACCTGTATTTATTTCCAATATTCAGTGAGGACACTTGAAATATTAGTCATTTTAAATGTTTTGTGTATTTGTTAGAGCAGAAGCTCTTTTTGTTCAGGAAGCTGGGTATTATGGGTAATATCCATCTTTCAGTTGCGTTTCAGTTCAGTGCTGTCAGATTCGACTCAACATATTGAAAGGCTTGAGCCCAACAAAATGAGTTATCGAGTTTGGCTGCAGGGGGCGCTGTTGCTTAGTCAAAGTTACATAGTGTTGCTTTAAATTCACTGTGTTATAAAAATACTTTGAAAAAAGCCTGAAAAAAGGAAATCATTCAGATATTTGAGAAGATTTTTTTCTTGCCAAATTATTACATGTGCAAGACACATTAGTCAAGTCTTGGTTGAATAATGTCTTTGTCTGATCTAAACTGTCTCAGTGCTTAAGGTGAAGGCTCGAGGGCAGAGAGACAACATGGCACAATGGTATTCATGTTGTAGGTGTGGCAAGAGTAACAATCCAACAAACATGTTGTGTAATGAACATAACACAGGCACAGGAACTGAATGACACGAAATCCAAAATCCACCCTTGGTGTTGTAATCTACTTCTCTAATGTACCAACAAAGCCTTCTCCTGCATTTCCTGATTTCCTACTGGACAGAAAGTACGTCAGTTGCATTCACCTGTTAGTCACAGGAAACAGCTGTCAGCAGGTAGAGCGGGTCCACTAATCTGAGGGTTGCTGGTTCAATCCCCTGTTTCTCCACTACACTTCAAAGTGTCCTTGAGCAAGATACAGAACCCGGGATTGCCCCAATGCAGCATCAGTGTGCGTCTGAAGGTGTAGAATGTGACCTGTAGTGTAATGAGCTAAAGAGGTCAATAAGACTATAAACTGGAAATATTGCGACCGTGTCTTTGGATGTGGCAGTAATGTGGGGGAACAGATGACACACCGCTGATCAACAAAAGCCCGGCACATGTCAGAAATCCATACAGAAAACGCTTTGGAGGAGATTCTGTTCTATTGCACCATTATCCCACTGAATGAAGACGCAGCATTAGAGTCAAGGTGCATGTTTTTCATAATCAAACACAAACTGGTTTTCCGGGTTGTGACCACCCCTCGTCTGCGTATCCTCATTCGGACCACCTCCATGACCAGAGCTCGCCAGTTGTGCGTTTGTTATTTTCCAGCCTCCCGCTACACTATCTGAGCCTTGTGGATCAGGGAGGCATGGGGACTGATGGCAGTGGGGCTCGGCCGGGGTTTGGGTCTTAAAGTGCCATTAGTCTGCTGATAGCGGATGCTGTGGGCCTCGGACACCTGGGAGCTGTTGGTTTCACTGTCTTGGTCGTCTGGATTCTCCTGGCTGGCGGGACCCCCCAAACCTTCGTCCACCTCATCCTCATCATCTGTCACCGGTGGGTAGTTGCAGCTCAGTGGAGGGTGCTGGTGGGTTTTGGTGACGCTTCCCGGCCGCGAACCCCCGCCGTCCGTTGGGATGACAGCGCTGCCGTTCAGCTGTCGCACAATCTCCGTGGACTGGACCATGGGCAAGGATATCGGCGTGAGAGGAGGGTGGAAACGAGTTTCCTGCTGCACAAGACACAAAGAGCAGATGTGCTTAGAAATTGCGTCATCAAGTTGGGTGAGATGCATTCCACAATTTGGTGAAATCAGGCTTTGACATGCCCAGAAACACACGCAAACACACACACACAGACACCCTTACCAGAGAAATGGAGCTGTTTCTCACATACGTCTCCACTCGGAGTCGGTTTTCCTCGTCTCTATCCAGGAGCCTCTCTCTTCCCCTGCGTGAGTTGTTGTGCAGGACTGGTCTGCCCAGGTAGTCGTAAGCTCCCCCTCCTCCTCCTGCTCGTCCACCTGAGATTGTAGATCGGCTGTCGTGGCAGTGAGCCTGCTCCTGTCAGTGCACAATTAAGTAATTAGGTGGTGATGGGAGGGAGTGGGTGTCATTCTTTTGCACCCTTAATTCAGGCCTGCACTCAGATAACTTTACAGTAGTTTTGTGCCTTGGAGAAATACGCTCATTTGCATTTTTGTGAGTGTGTGTTGTATAAAATCTGCCTCTCACCACCTCTTAAATGGCAAATGGACGACATTTAAAGAATTATTCAAGTCTTAAAAGCCACTCAAAGCACTTTAGACGACAGGTCACACATACACTCATATACTTCTATACATAGAACTTCTTCTGTTCACTGAGATGCACTGCAATCAGAATTGAAATGTTGAAGCTCAGAATGCGGTCGCCTGGCATCAGAACAGTAAAGCCTCAAGTTTCAAATAGATACTGACCCCAAGGGAGGATATGCTGGTCCTCAGGGTTCCCTCCACCCTCAGAGGGATGTTTTCCTCCGTCTGCAAGCGGAAAGAAACAGAGAACCGGATTAGCTGGGGGACTAAAAAATAAATAATAAAACCAAAACTTGGCCAAAACCCGACAACAAAAGCCTGTGAATAAAACATCACACCCCTTTCAAGCAAATCCAACCCCACTCACTCATTTTCTTGGAAAGCTACAACTAACAGTCACCCTAGGTTGTAGAGCACAGAATAAAGTATTCATCACTGTGAAACATTTCTGAGACTCTGAAACATTCCTCAGGAGAAAACACAAGATGAAGCTGCAGCAGGGACAGTATACACTCAGAGTGTGAATAATCATTACCGCTCCTCTGGTATCTGTGCTGATGGAGTTCATCCTCCTGAAAGAGGCTTGTCTGGAGAGAGTGCAGATTTCCTCCCTGTGAGAAAGTGATGGAGAGAAAAAGAAGAAAGATATTTAAGTGAATAAAGAAATCCACTGTGGATTCTGTGGATTTTCAGAGCACTTTTAAAGGTTTGAATGTACTTCACACTGCATGTTTGTCCATATTAAAACTTTTTTTTGTTTGTTTTCTTGTCTTTGTTGTTATTTTATGATTTTTGCCCTATGCATATTTATTAATTTTCATCTCATCTGTCATCTCAATAAAACACTTTATCATATCCACTAACTTCTTCTCAGTCAGCTCCCGCTTCAGTTTGGAGCTCTTGCGTTTGTGGTGACAAATGACTGTGATGACGATGATGAGCATCAGGAGCAGCAGCCCGCCAGCCACACCCCCCACGATGAGCATCAGCATTTCTTCTGGCATTTTCGGGTCCGTACGAGTTTCTGTAGAGAGTAAGAATGGGAGGTAGGCAGGATCAGATGGATGTCTGTATCTCCTCTCACAGCATGCCCTTATATTATTAATATGTTTATTATTATGACAAGTCTCAGTCTGTCATGTTGACAGCGTTGTCGTCTACCTGCCACAACAATCTCCACCTCCGCCTTCCCCACTCCCACGTCATTCTTCGCCACACACTGGTAGGTGCCTGCGTCGGACAAGCTCAGGGGTCGCCCAAAAACCAGTGTTCCGTTAGGGAGTGGGATCACACCTTCCGGCAACTCTTTACCCATTCTGCAAGACAAAGTGGAAAAAGTGGGTTAAGGGCCTGCACTGCTCCCAGTAGACCACATGCACCTTAAATATATAATCTCACTCAAGTTTTAAACTAATTACTCTGCAATAATCCTTTTCTATCCATGCAATTTCAATATCACATATGTGCAATACTGTTACATTGTTCAGAATTTGTTTATATCGTACATTTCCCCATATTGCGGCTCATAAATAAATCTTATCTTATCTCATCTCATCTTATCTTATTATCTTTATTATGTAAAGAAATCCATTTCTGCTTTTCTGTCATCATAAAACACAACACCCCTTTCTGTGAGAGAGTGTAGAGAAGGAAAATCTACTTTTATCTCTATTAAAATGTCATGTTCTGTGTCTCAGTAACATTTCAATGATTATTTGGAGCCAGCATTTGGTTTCACTTACAGCACAGTGATAGTGACAGCCCCTATCAGGAACAAAAAATAGGAACTGTCTGTTTTCACATATGCAAAAGAAACACGCTCACGATAAAATCTAACACAAATACACACATTAAGTATCGTCTTCCTCCTCTCGCCACCACCATGGACCAAACCATATACACATAAACAAACAGACACACGCACACACACACACACTACTCTACTCTCTCTACCTATTATGAGTTGCACATCCCTTTCCCTTTTTTTCTTCTCATCCCCCTCTTCCTCCCTCCTTCGTGTGAAACTGTCTCATCCGTCTGCTTTTGGCACAAGCTGCAACATGACACTGTGACACCCGATATTTCTTCACCTGCCGCCTTTTACTGACAAATCCAACAGGTTTTCCCACTGCTTTAGATGCATTTGTGTGTGTGTGTGTGTGTGTGTGTGTGTGTGTGTGTGTATGTGTGTTTGGCTGGCGTCTGGTGAGCCTCAATCACAAAACCTCCTTTCCCAAGGTGCGTTCCTGTGACTAACAACAAGTAATCCGTGCCTCATCATAACAACCCAAATGAGAAGAAACACTCAACCTAACATTTAACTTATTTCCCATGTATCTCACATCTGTACATTTGGAAGATTTCCCTTGGGGCCCAACTGTCACATCTTATAACTCCATGACAGCCATTCCTCTCCCTGTCACTTTTCGCATCTCACATTTTTCTGCCTGAACTCTACGCCACACCCTGAGAATACGTTAATGCACCGGGGACGGGCCATCGGGAGGACGGCAGGTGACTCGATCAGAAGGAGTCAGGCATCTGGCTGAATGAAACCCTTCCCGGGGTTTAATTCCGGGCAGCGGTGCTATTCCTTTTAAATGACACATACAACATCTGAATCTGTCAGTTTCCACTGAGGCAGCAGGATGACAATGCCAGGGCTTGTTTGGTTGGGTCACATGGAAGGGGGTGGAGATCCTCCCACACTACACAGTAAAAAGTTATTCAAGTCAAGTGTCCAAGCTGCACAAGAAAGTAACGAAGTAACCAGAAAGTAAAAAATACTGAATACTAAAAACATGAGTGAATATAACTTACTGATTAATGTAATACTTCTACTTGAGTACACTTTTGTCTATTTATTTATTCTTCAGTAAAATGTTTCAGTAATTCCTACGCCTGTGCTGCAGTTGCTTAAAACAAAAGTACCTAGCTGTTTTATTAATAATATCATGGTATGATTCAGTTTTAATGATTTATGTCTTCAGAAGACTGGGACTGGGGCTGTGGCTGAAACCCACAGATAAGCGGATCTCATTGGTTTAAGCCTTTCAATAGAATTTAGCAGCAATATTATAAACATAAAATGTACTAGTAATCTTAACCATTACTGATCAGCTGAGTCAGTGGTACACACATTAAAGTGATTTTATCTCATAATAACAAGCTTCATGCAACTAAAAATATTGCTTAAAACAAAACAGCCAAATCTTTCTATTTAAATTGAGTTGATGGGAAAATATTAACTAATTTCTTTGAGGCAATCATGAGAATTTAAAGTGTATGACAATATTGTTTTGGATTATGTGCCACATTTATTCACACAGAAAAATAAGAAAGGAAAAAGACTCCTGAGGATGAGCTGAGTTTAACCTTTACTGAACATCCCATTGACGACTACTTGGCATGATCACCTAGGGGCTTATGAGGAAAATAATAATGACCAGACAGATCAGACAGTTAGTCACACGTGTACCAGACAGCCAGAGAGGGAGGCGGCTCCAACAGTACCTGATCCAGGTGAAACTCTGTGGTTTGGGGTTTCCTCCGCTCACGCACCTCAGGGCAGCGTTCTCCCGACCAATGAACCAGTCTCCATTGAAGCCAGACACCTCTGCATGTGGTGGGACTGGGAGGAAGAGCAAAAAATTGACTGAGCTTTGTTCAGCCGAGGCAAGTGAGGGGAAAAAATGGAAGTGTTGTCTATCACAGCAGGATTAAATGTAGCTAAGGCTGAAATATCTGGACTTTTAGCTGAATTCTTCTGAAAACTGTGCGTTTTTATTGTCGACGACTACTCACAGTGCACTACCAAGTGGTTCCTGAGCCTGCGGGGGCTAGGGGAAGTCGGGTGCCACACCAGACAGTCCAGCTTTTTGCCGTTCATGCTCCTCAGCGGGTGCAGGGAGTAGTGGGAGGAGACCGCCCCGTTGTCCGAGGAGCGGTTGGTGAACTGGCCGTTCAGGTCGCTGTCCCAGGAGAGGTGGGGAGGCGGGCGGGCAATAGAGCGACAGGACGCGGCGTGTCGGTAGGACTGACCCTCCACCAGGATCACAGGGTCCAAGGAGGAGATGGGAATGGCTGGAGGGGGGTTGCATCAAGTGAAGATGAGGATAAATCAGTGATGAACGTACACACAGATTTAAAAAAAGACACATTCCCATTCTGATTCTTAGTATGAGCTAAAGCTGTCACATGAAGCAGGTTAGTCAAGTTTTTCAGTTCTAAATCTTTATAGCTTTATATGTAATTATAGCAAGGTTTGCATTTTACCCTCTTAAACTAAATAATCTAGTAGGTTATCATAGTACTAATGTATTCTGTCTATGTTTAACACTGATGAATAATCAGATCCTTATCCTTTCAATAGGCCATTTGAACTCACCACAATTTACTCTTTGTAAGGCAACAAACTCACATACCAACAATATTATGAGGGGATAATACAAATATAAAATTACATTCTTACTTTATAAGTAATGATTGTACTTCTTGTTTTCCAGTTTAATAACAGATACGAGCAGTAGATAAGAGTAATATTTGTGAGATATTAAAGTAAAATGGAGAAATATTGTGAAATATGTCTCTGAAGAAATAAGATAAGCAACTAAAATAGTATTTACAAGGAATTTATAATAATATAGGATGTATGTTTTGTTTCTTCGACTAGTGTTAGTCATAGCATTATTGGGAATGACTAAAAATAAAAATGCATTGGGTTTACTATGTTGTTTCTTATTGCCTTTTAAGGAGTGAGTGGATTCTAACACGTGAAAGACTACTCACTGTTTGTCAGGGGTGTTTCACACAGATGTTGAGTCAGTGTGATGTTGTTATTGTGTCTAATTTATTAGTCACATAAAACTCATAATGTGCCACAATTCACACAAATTCCATTTTCATACCACCGGTTTCCATCCATGACCTAATATCCCTCATCCTGCTGCAGTATCAAACTATACTGGGCTTTTTCCCTTTGCATTAGAGAGGGACTCACTCCATACGATGAGTGACATCGAGCTGTCAAAGTTGCCGAAGGGGAAGGTGCTGATGTGGCAGATGTACTTCCCCTCATCTGAGACATCCGTGCTCATGATAACCAGTGTTGAGTCCAACGTGGGATCGCTGCTTCTGAAGCGCACACGTCGTGACCACATCCCAAATGCTGCAGATCAAGAATAAAGACAGAGGGGGAGAGAGGGGAGGGACAAGAGTTAAAGGAGCATGTGTGGAACGATGTGACACAAAAATAAAAAAAGATTAAGTCCACCAAGTTCAAGACAGACCTGCAGGGTTGTTTTTGTCACTTTCAGTTCCACACCCACGCCTGCACTCATGCTTGAAATTACATTTACATTCTGGGCATTTAGCTGGGAGTCTTATCCAACACGTCTCACACTCACAATGGGTGAAAGCTTCAAATACCAAGTCAACACAAATTACAAGAAACCAACAACACAGTGCAGAGATCAAGAGCCTTGGCGCCCAGTGTCTCTCACTGTTCTATTAGTGGAGACTGACAACTTGTAGTTGAACAACAAAGTTCATTGAGTGGGAGAGGGGGAAGTGATCCAGTCGGACTATGTTTATTTTTGACGGCGCCGACTGACCGGTCTGTCCATTTGTGTGGTGAGCGGTGATGATCTGTTCCTTGCTGGAATCCGGTTTCTCCTTATACCAGGTGACCTGCACCACCACCACGTTGTGCTCGCTTGGCTTGTAGCGACAGGGCAGGACGGTCTCCTCCTCGGCCAGGGAGCGTATGGCATTGTTCGGGGGCAGCTCCACAAACACGCCCTGCGTCACTGGAAGAAAAAAGGATGCAGGATGATGAAAATGATTTAAATCAGCATTATGCTGACACTAATCTTGACAGTGACCATTTGACCTACAACATAAGTCTGGAAGTGCGTCCTATTACAATGGCTCTGAACACCTCAAAAAGACAGTGGCTATGAAGAATTGGCTTGTATTACAAAGCCTGTGCACTTGAAGAATGTGGTTTAACCTCACTAATTTGTCTTCGCTTAACCTTTCAAGTTCAAACTATAGCAATTAGCTACACGTCTGTTTAGGTAAGCTGGATAAAATGAAAAGAAGATATTACAATAATTCTAAAATACAGTTAATAACGTTTATCATTTTAATCACCAACTCTTCACCAAAAATGGTCATTTCCTTTCATACTATATTTTCATTGTTTGTGACCGGACCAAAGTTTCTTTGGTTATTTTTGGTTTTATGTTAAGAGCATTTACCAGGTGGAAATACGCAGTGACAGTGTATGTGAAAACAAAACTGTGATTGAAATGTAAAGCGACAAGGAGGATGAGTGGGATTTAAAGAGTCCTCGCAGCGCAGACAGAAATGAGGGAGGAGAAAGAAAACAGGGTGTCTATCAGAGGAAGATATGCCGCTTAACAAGTCGCTCGAGATAAGCTCCAAGGCAAACTCAGTCAGTGTCTGAAGCAAGAAATTCAAGAAGGCCCCAGGAAAACATGCAGCACAGGACATATTTGAGACATGTACTTTGTGTCTCACACTGTGGAACCGCAACACATCAAAACACGAACCCAGTCTTTGCATGAATATCTCTGTTTACAGACCAGACTTGCCAATCTGTCTGATGGAGACAAACAACAATGTGACACCTTATCTTCTCCTGTCCTCCAACAATCTCATAAAAGCACACACACACATACAGCTGCATGCATGGCAGTCATGACGTGGATCTCTGCAAACTGCATTTAAAGTCCCCTTAAATTCAAGCACACTCATATATCAGTTACCTTTATATGCCCGATTTTCTGGTAAAACAATGAACATTTTTGAAAAACACTGGCAATGTTAAAGAAAGTGACGCCAAGTTAAGATAACTTCTCTCGAGGGAGGTAACTCCAAGAGTCAAAAGCTTCCAAGCAGCTTTCTAAAGGGCACATCCTCTTGGCACAGTAATCGGATAAAGTTGAGTTTATTTTAGTGAAACAAAAGTGATGCCAGTTCCACTGGAATTTTCATCATCACGGTGTGTTATGATATTGGTACTCGTAGTGTTAATGGTGAGTGATTTACTTTCATACAGCACAGTTTCCTGATGGAGATAAGCCTGCAGAGACTGAAGGAAAGCAGCTCACTCAATTCACAACATGACACATGAGGTGTGTCTACGCCCACACACAATTGCGCTGACATTTCCATCAGGTGCCCCCAAAGTGACCCCATGAGGAAAATGTCATTAGCTTTTATATCTGATAACTCTCCAGTTTGCTGCTACAAACAATACAGAAACTGCTGCAGGCAATTCTAACTGGTTTTTACTGATCCCTCACATCTGTTTAAACAAGCCCAAATGTTGATTTTCACTATAATACCATATGGAAAGTATCTAGTTTGGACTTGATTAAGTGAACAGTGCTTTTAGTCATATATTAATAGGAAGTAAGCAGTGGGCTGATTGTTATTCCTGTGAAAGGTACGTGGTCATAACCCAAACAAAATTTTATGAAATGCTAGGCGGTACAGTCGTGCTTGTTATGCTCGCAATAAAAGCATTTACAAGTAGCGTTATGTTTGCCATCTTAATCTAGTGTTTGCATGACACCATTAGCGACGGAGTATAAATAAAACTGAGGTGATAAGAATCCTGTTAGTTTGACACGATGGTGCTGTGTGCAAACTTTTTCTCCATTGCACAAATGATAACTTCCACAGTTCCACAACAGGAAAAAGTCAGGGAACGGAAGACACTCCGATTCCTCCTCTGAGGATGGTGAATTTCAGCACGGCAGTCCATTAAAAAGTAAATTGGTTGAGAAGTTGTTGCTAAATTGATAAAGAAGAAAATGTATCATAGAGCTAAGCTGCCATTGTGACTAATAGAACAAATAGAAAGTCAAGTTACAAAGCCAGAACAGTGACTACACCATAGACTGTATATAAAGATGGATGACATGACGGCTCCCCCGACATGTCAATTGCCCCTTACTGGTTGGCTGCAGTATAGATCATGAACCATGCCTCCTCCATGTTAGTGGAGGAGGCATAATCTAAAAAGTCAGTACGCATCAAATAAACATGGTTTCTATCATTCTAGATATATATATGTCCACATGCTCATTTTTCAGTGCGTTTGCTGCTGTCATCACCAGATCGTTGTTGCACGGACTCTGGCTCCAAGATGGGAGCACCCCATGCAAGAATGTTTTAGCTGGACATCTGGACAATGAAAGGAAGTGTGTGTGTGTGTGTGAGAGAGAGAGAGAGAGATTACAGGTGCTGATTTATACCTGCTGTGGGAGAAACTGTTCCACCAGTGATTAGTATGTGATTCATGCATTTACCATCAGAGCCGATGACTGTACTCTGGAGGCGGTGTGAGTGTGTGTGTTTTTTCTGTGTGAGTTTGTCGCCCCGAAGTTGGAGCCTGCTGTGGAATCTGCCTTTGCTGCATTACTGGAATAACACTCCGCCTGTAGCTGCCTTTATGTACTGTACGTCTCTCTGTCGATGAAAGTTTGTTTTAATGCTCTGTCATTGTCTCTCATTGTCTGGCACTGTGATAATATTTGTGTGTTGGATGATACAGGACTTAACCAAACTAGTAAGTGATGGGCTGACACATGCAGTACTTCCTGAAGATTACCATGTGCTCACGAACACACACACACACACACACACACACTAGGAGGGTCTGCACGGCTCAGACAGGAGGAGGCTAACTGATCAACAGCAACAGGTTTTTCCAGAAATAACAGTCAACACCACAGGTGTTTTCTTTAACAGTGCTGCCTCCGTTTAGCGTGTTTGCAGGGAAGGCAAGCCACCTGCAGAGCACGTACATGGAACTCAACATGATCCCTTCTGCAGATGTAGTCTTTTTTTTGATCGTACATTTTTTCCATTGCCTATTTTGCTTTATTTTACCCAAACCTAACACACATGTGTTGTACTGGTTGAAGGAGTAGGCAGCCTTTAGACAGCAAGTAGGAATATTATGGGATACACATAAGGTGAAGTCACCAATGATTGAGTAATGCAGGAAGGCTGTATAGTCCAGAATCATCAACATAAAGACACAGACAGAACATGACATCTTAGAGGAATAACACTGATTTCTGCATGGTTGGACAGGGTCTGTAAAATCCTCTTACCAAAGATCTGGAGGACAAGGAGACACAGGGAGGGTCTGTTCAGCAGAGGTGTCATTATCCCAGGTAGATACTGATAAATAAAGGAACGTTGGGACAATCAGTCCAGAGAATAAAGTCCTAAGAGACAGGTCTGCATGGAGCACTGGGGTGGTCTCATGCCTGGTGCTGCTGGATCATCATTTTCTTTCTCTGGACCAGGTCCTCTCCAAAGTCTGCTCCCGGACAAACCTGTTAAAGTTGGAGCAGTTCACACGCGGTCCTTGTGAGAATATTAATATCCTTGCAGTCTGGTTAAGTGTTGGTTGGTGAAGAACACGCCATGTTTGTCCTCAAGAAAAAAGAAAGAAGGCGCAGCTTTACCTGTTTGGATACACCTGTTTGCTCTACCATGCAGCGCCACCCCCATCCACTCCGACCTCTCTCTCTCTCTCTCTCTCAACACACACACGCCGGTGCACGCACACAAAAGTCACCTATCCGGTTTAGGGTTGAGGCAACATGACAGTTATTTTCTCGCCTTTACTTGCTCTGCTCCAGGAGAAGCAGGTGAAAGCAGCAGGTTGGCCGCGTCCGCGTCCGCGTGAGACGCACGGTGCCAAAACCAAGCGTGTCCCCGCCCTCCCATTGCAGAGAGAAAATGGGATTATCGAAACCTTTTAAAGGGATAATCTCAAAAAAATTCAGAGCTCCACAGAGACACCAGCGAGTAATTTAGGCTGAAATATCAACATAAGGAGAAGAATGATCATGTGCCAACTTTTCTTACAAAGACACTCAAACATATAAACATTGAATCAATATATTTAATGGTTTCTTTCAGTCAACAACAACAATAACATTGAAAATTTGTACATCACATATTTTGATTAATCATTTTTCCCAAGGACTGTATTCAAAGATAGACGACGCAGCTGCTCTTCCTCCCACTATCCAGAAACAAAACCTAGATATCCTGGATACAAACATCTCCATTGTGCTCATCATGAAATTATTACTTTTGATTATTTGCATAAAGTTGTTTGTGGCCGGAGGTTTGTCACTCCCTGTTTAGACATAATTGTGGTTGTCCTCATTCCCCACTGTAATTCAAAGTAATGTGATAATAACATGAAAAACGAGTCTAAGCTTCCTACAGATAGTGAAAATAGATTTATTCTGTCAGCTGGCTGTGTGATTTCTTCCAGATCTCCCTGGTGTGTGTGTTTCGTGAATGTGGACAGGTAAGGACCACACCATCACTGCCATCCTGTGGTGTACTGGAAACACAGCTCTTTTCCCTCAGCATTATTTACAACTAACACAAAACAGGAAAATATGTTTTCAATTTCCAGATGATTTTCATCTCCTGCAAGCAATACAACTTGAAGGTACACAAAAGGTACAGTGAAATCATGTCTTTCGTATTCAAACACATTCACACATATACAAAAACTGGCCATAACCCTTTCAAAAATTTAATATCACAGAGCAGAAAACATCTGATCTAACAAGCATTTCTGAGAAATGCCTGCCCTGATCGCAACTTCCCTGTTTCTTACCCTTGTCTTTCTTAATTTGACCTCACAAAGATTCTGAACAAGCGAAGGGGAAATGAACACTGTTGCTCACAGTTTCACATTCTCTCAAAATGTATGCCATGGATATCATTGAATACTAAAATATGAAAGTAAAAAAAGCAATCAGGTAGACAATGTCCATCTTGCACTCAATCACATCACTTCTTCATGTGGATGGTTTCATATGTGTCCTGGACACGATGGGTCAAATCCTAACAGGGGGACAGAGAGGGAGAAAATGAGAAATCATGTGCATGTAGTTTATTTTATCATTAACAGCATAGAAACTCACCGAATAGAGGCCCTCTTCAACCGTCTGCCGGGGGAAGGAAACAACAGAATTAGAAACAGTGTAGGCAAACACATTTGAGTCTCTATGTGTCTCTTGACTGCGACAGGATGCATGTGTGTGTGTGTATGAACACGGTGTGAAAAGGAAGAATAAGAACCAGCTGCTTGAGGAGAGATTCAAGCCAGAGAACACCACACTAAGATGTATACACGTTACAGTGTGTTTGTGTGTGTCGTGTGGTTTAGATTGTGCACAGTTTGCAGCTGGTCATAGGAAAAAATAGACTTAAAACTGACGTAAAACTGCACCAGTACTATAAAAACGTATATTTTCTAATGCTTAGCAAGTTAAAACCAAGAGTATAAATACCACAAACAAATAGACAAGTAATATGTTGTCAAAGCTGCTGTGTATAGGGTTCATTTGAAAGCAGCTCTGGTCTAACAGTCATGAAAATAGAGGCAGCAGACGCAGGTGAGTTCTTGTTTCGACCAAGCTACAAAATATTCGCTCCTAAATTTCCCACAATGCAACCAATTGCTATTAAGCCTTCTTTGGCTTTCAAACACCTGCGTCTTTTAGTTTTTCTGTAATAAAAACGGAAGTGACAAAGCCCAATGTGACCTGCCACTGTGGGGCAGTTGCTATTTTTTTCTGCTGACATGAAGTGTGGGTGTCAGTTTTGTTCTGTTTGGCACACTGAGGTTTGACCTGATCTATGTGGTTATTTTCTATCTGTGCAGGAGCCTCCTGCCTCAGCGTGTCATGTCTGTGTTTAGTGTGCATGCATTCTTTCATACCTTCTTCTGCTTTCCTGAGCCAGCTTCTCTGGCATTGCAGATCTGTTAAAAAATAAAAAAATCATGTGAAGTTACTTTTTAATATTCATTGGAAAGTTCAGTTTAAGAATAGTGATACAGGAGTGCAGCAGAAAAACAATTGTAGTCCACCATCAGAGCTAAACTATTTTATAAGTTCATAAGTAACCGCACCACCCCAGCTTTACATGTGCTTAGAATAATTGCTTATCACTTACACAGGAAGTCAGTAAAATCGTTAGTGAGAAATCTGGTTTGGTTTTCTTCTTTTTGAATGCTTGCCGTGCCTTATTTTGCAGACGACATTCATTTTACATTTATAAGTTATCATATATTTACGGGGAGGGATACAGTGAATCACAGGCGTATACGCAGCATGTAATGTGCGAACCTTAATTTTGCAGTAGAACGCTGTCAGGATGACACCGTACAAGAACAGGATCCCATCCAGCACGAAACAAACATTAGGTTCTGAAAGAAAGGCTGAGGAGACACAGGTGAAAAAATTTGTTAGGACCAAAAACCAGGAATAATAACAGCACTGCCACACACTGTTTGTTATTAACCTCAATACTCATCATTTAAAGGGACGACATAAAACACACTCCCGGCACTGGAATGACTTTAAATCAGGGCTCTTCCACCTTAAACTCTGCTTTTCAGGCAACACACAAAGCAAGCCCCCATGTCACATGGTACACAATGAAGCTACATCCTTGTCATTTACAAAAACAATATTATTAAAGGGCGACACCATTTCAGATTGTCAAACAAAAAAGCCACAGCTGCCATTACATAAAAATCCAAAGTGTGCAAAGCAGTGCAGATCTTGAGTAAATGTTGATGCACATTCTGTAAAGCATATTTCTTACAGAAAGGGGAAATTCTAATGTGTGTCATGAAGGGAGATATGTTTTTTAAAGAGTGAACCATCTAATCAACTGGTTATAAAATGGCTTTAGCCACAAATATTGACACACTTATTTTCAGAGAAGCAGGACTTCCGGCCAACATTGATGCAGCAGCGCAAGCATGAAAGACTCTTTATTATTATTTATTATTATTTCAGTGAAGATTATTTGCAGTTGGGGATTATTACTGTAGCAGTGGATCGTTGATGTCAACTATATTTATACAAATGTATAGCATAGAATGTACATGTGTTCACATATTTATACAATATAAATATTTATTTCATTGCACTACTTTATTGCCTCTGTCCACAACTCGTACTGTTCACAACACACAGGACCAGTTCACTTGTGGACATCCTCTCATGGTTTGTGTACATCTACACATACATTCCAACATTCTGCATATTCTCGTTCTTTCATTGCTTCATAACGTGAGAATGTCTTATTATGGGCTTAGTATTGTATTACACAGTATTACTGTGTCCTCATTATAACACTGGTTTTAAATGGTTTGTTTAAATCTGTGAAGTTATTCATGATCAAAAGCTTTAAAAAGTGAGATGTAGATGTTAATGTATACAATTATTGCTCCACTGTACTAATGTTAATTTTCATTTCGAGACTTTTACATGTTACTTCTTTGGTGGTATTTGTTACCTGCCATATTCCATTTTCTTTAGGCTCAAATACCATGATCACTTCATTCTCTTTTGTTTTAAAAATACTCAGTGTGTGTAATGAGACAGATTGAAGTAAATAGTAATAAAAAAAACATGATTCTTCATTGTGACCCAGACCTCCTTAAGTTTGTTCCAGCAATGTTTGAGCAATGACTCAAACTCTGATGTTGAGAGAAGTAAAAGAATAATTGAAATCTAACAGGATACATGTATATACTTTTAAAACAGGTAAAATAAATCAACAATCAATACAATTTTTGAGACGATTGAAGACAGTAATTAATACACATTATATCTGTAACTTTGTGAACTCTCTCAAAGCTATATTAACTTTAAAACCACATCTACAACATGTACTATGACACCACAGTATATCGCATTGTTTTAAATGGAATGACGTTTATTTTTCCTACATTTAGTCACAGGAACAATGACATCATTCGTGTGTGATCAAATGTCATCTTCTGTCAGTCCCTTCCTTCCTCTTCCTTTCTCCAGTGTCACAAATTGGTTTGAAAGGTCATGTCTAAAAGCATAAATGAACTTGTTTGAATTTATTGATAATATCTGCAAGTGATTTTCTTGATTTAATAATTTATTTAGTCTGTAAAAGAGTGAACATTTCCTTTGTCATAAAAACAGCAAACAGTCCACAACCCCAAGATATTTAGTTTACTATTGTGCAAGAGAAGGAAAAGTCAAAAATATCCACATTTGAAAAGTACTAAATATTTCTTCTCTAGCATGATTCATTTCTAATGTCGATCCCAAGTACTATTGTGTCGAACGTTATTATTTATCGATTCAGCTCGATAGATATTCTTCTTTAGCTCCAATGGCCTAATAACTGTCACTTTAAAGGGTAAATATACAATTTGTTGTCTCTATTTTTTTATTTTACTTAACTTAATTCACCTTTTAAAGCTGCGTATAACATACATCACTTTAATTGTAGAATTACAAATAACATGCAGCAAAATATAGTATAACAGCAATTGAACTTTGGAGGCAGCTGAATAGTAATGATAGAATGTGTCCTAACATGAGTCTAATGGCTGCTGTATAACTGTCCTCAAGGGTGTGTGGGGTCCAGTTATTCATGTTGTGGGGACCAGGGTTATTATAGTTAATGAAAACTAACTAAAACTAAACTGAATTGCAGATAAATTCAGTTTCGTTTTGTTTTCTCCCTCGATTACTGCCTGTCCTGCAGGTGATGGTTAAAGAATGAAATTGAAGGACTTGACAAACCATATTTGGTGTCACACATTGTTTCATCCTTTTTCAGTTTCTACAAGTCAAGGCCTTCTCTTAATACCTGGGAAAACTAAAATTAAATAAAAACTAAACTGAAACTAGTCGATTCCTCAAAATAAAAACTAAACTAAAACTACAAAATCACTTGAACTAACTAAAACTAAACTGAAATACTAAATAAAAACTTAACTATAATAACCTTGGTTGGGACCCAAATGTGTTAACAAAGTCACACTATGGGGTGTGGTCTTCTTTATAAGGACAAAAAGCAAGTCCTCATAATGTAAATCATTACAGTTTAAGGTTTTATCATTAGGTTAACGTATCTGAGAAATCAGTGTTAATGAATGTAATGTTCGCTTTAGTCATGGAGACACAACAGTGTGTGTGTGTGTGTGTGTGTGTGTGTGTGTGTGTGTGTGTGTGTGAAAGCGTCCATGCACATCAGTGCTATCGCTGCCACAAGAAGCAGCAGGGTCAGCTGCTTTCACTTAACCACAAATATTATCATTATCATAAATATGGTTTTTCTTATTAATTAAATGACCATTGTCAAGTCTACAGACATTCAATCGGATCAGTATCAAAATGTGAAATTACAGTTAACACTCACCTGCAGCTTTGCCAAAACACATCCACAAAGTAGCCACCAGCAACGTGCTCCTGCCCCACACTGCCATGATCACACAGGCTCAAGTACACAGGACAGGGCTCTTTCAACAAGCAGAAACTCAACTAGTTGGTTTTTTTGCTTCCTATGTTCTTGTAAAGAGACTACAGTATTGCATATACCTCTGAGAGGAAGCTGTGGTCTGAGCTCTAAAGTCCACTCTTCTCATATCTCAGACCACTCCCCCTCGAGCATCAAGACAGAGGAAGGACACATCTTTGCTGTCATGTTCTCAAACAACTCAAGGAAATGGAGCATTTGAAAAAGAAATAACAGTGTTCCATTGCTTTACTGTTCTGGGCATAAAATATTTATTGGGTTCATTTGGACATTGTACATCAACAATAATGAGCAGAGTCCCCTGTCAAAAGTCTCACTACAGCAAATAGTGAACAGGAAGAGAACCTGACTAACAAATGTGCGAGGGGCAGAATGAATTCTCTTTAGGGGAGCACCGCGCTAGCAGCGTCACGTTAGCGGTCCACTTCACCAAACACTATGTCCTGTGTACCTGAGAGAGGGAGAAGAAAGGACTCAATATATTGCAGCAACATGCACATGTTAAATTATACAGATGTAGTAGCAGTTTGTACTTCTGGAGCATAAACCTTAAAATCACTTTGACATTTAATAATCCCAATCTTACCAATAATGGCGACAACATCAGCTAACATGTGTCCTTTGGCCATTTTATCCAGACCAGCCTGCAAAGAAGAAAACATTTATTAACATTCAGTAGCAATGAAGACAAGCACCACTATTCAGGCCAGATGAGCTCATTTGAAAGTGAGTATTCATTATTCATGAGATTATAGCCTGAAGTTAATGCACTAACTACTCTAATAGTTTGTTTATGCAACTTTAAAGACATTTTAGCCTTGAAGACCAAAATTCTAATGACTGCGTCGAACAGCAGTTCGTGTACCAATGAGCTAAGAGGACGGGCAGGAAGGAAGCAAGAGAGGGGTTGGGTCTGTGTGCTTTTAAAAATGGTTATATAGTGCTATATTAAATGTACTTAATGAACTAAAAGTAGCCTTTAGGACAAGATGTTAAACATGCTGAATTATTGATGCCGGCTGTGTTTAATATTTCACGGTGTCTTATTAAGTTTTTAAGAGCGCACCAAGTGAGCGAATCCAGGAGCTTTGATCTTGCAGCGATAGGGTCTGCTGGAGCCGTCTGACACCAGATAAACACCAAACTCTCCCTGCAAGCGGCACACACACACATACAAATACACAATAGTAAGCATATTACATCACAATAATCCTGACTCAGACATTAGCATTCTCACTTCAGCCCCTCTGGATAATTTCAGGAGAATATCCGGAGTACAGCTTGTGAGTAGTGTTACCTTTGGTGCCTCCACAGCTGTGTATGTGGACCCTGGGGGGACCTGGTAGCCCTCCGTGTACAGCTTGAAGTGATGGATCAGAGACTCCATGGACATCTAGGAAAAGAAGCACACAAGACATGTTAAGTCTTTGCAGCTGCTTTGTGAAACACTAATGCTCATGGAAGTTGACTCTCTGAAATGTAAAATTATAACACTAAGGTGAACTAGAGGTGATCTTCTGCCTCAAGGGCAGCCAAATTAAAGTGGATTTTTTAGTAGAAGTGGCCTAATTCTGTAAAGAGGGTAGCGTGAAGACAAATTAGCGACACCAGCGATATTTAATTAACACAGAGGAGTGATGAAGCGCAGGGGAAAACCCAGAAAGGAAAAAGGTGCCAGCATTTTCAAGATTAAATGGCCTGGAGCTGTAAATTTTTATTTTAAAAAGGCATCTCGCAGAATGAAGCTGCACTCACCTTCATCTCAGACCTCTTGGGTGGGGCCACCTTGGCGTCATCCACCTTTATCTCTCCTTCTGGCATCTTGTTGAGAGCCTGGTGCATGATCCTAAGGGACTGCCTCATCTCCTCCACTCTGCACAGGTACCTGGAAAAGACACATAACACAGACACACACAGAGAGAGAGAGAGAGAGAGAGAGAGAGGAAGCAATTGAAGCTACTTTACAGATGTTGTTAAATGTGCAGACAGGACAATCAACCACAGCTCATGTGTTAGTCATTCTGAAAAGGTCATTGGTGAGGAGTGCAAAATCAGTCCTCACAAACAGACAAAGTCATTTCTTTGATTTTGTCTGGATAACACAGAATTGATTAGCATGTCGTGCTCTACACCAACAGCTCCCTTACATTCCTTTATTAGACTTTGTGATGAAGCACTGCTGCCACAAGGAAAATAGTTAGCCAGCTGCAGTTCACTCACACCAACAGCTGTGTTAGCATATGAACAATCATTTATTTACACATGGTTGGCGGGTAATGTAACACAAGCCTTTCTAATAGACTCACAGCTACACTGAATGTTTACTGTAGTAATGATGTTGCAGACTTCAGCAAAAAATATTGAAATTTAAATGTATGAAAATAGATTAGAATGTTTAATATCTGACAGATAATTTCTACACAATAAATCAATAAAAGCAGAATGATGGTTTAACTGTAATCTGTAGTTATCCGTGAAATGCCAAAATGAACATGTTTATCATATTAAAGCAGCTCCAACCAGCCAATGACTGAGAAAACACATGATTAAAGCTTATTTGTGTTTGATGATAGAAAACTAATTCCTTAATCAAGCAATTCTGTTCTGTATAAAAAAAAAAATCAAGCAACGACTGACGAAAACCAACTAAGTTAAAACTTTAACATGGATACAGAAACAAATGGGGCAGAAAAACAGAAAGAGAAAGCAAACAATAGCAACAACACTCAGTAAATCTTCTTACCTGTCATAACAATCTCCTTTGCTTCCGATAGGGACGTCAAACTCCACCTCGTCATACTTGTCGTAAGGTTGAGACTTCCTCAGGTCCCACTTGATGCCTGACCCTCGCAGCATCACTCCACTGGTGGAGGAACAATGAGGAAGGGGATAAATATCAGAGCTTATACTGATTTCTGCTGAACAAAACCTAAGAAGCTTTCTGACTTTTACTCACATTTCAAATTGTGCTAAATGTTGAACATTTCGATCAATCACCCACAGATTTGAGAACTTCATGAAAGTCAATCGATCACACTGATTAGAAAGGTTACCTGAAGCCGTAATTGAGGGCCTCCTCAGCAGAAACCACCCCGATGTCAACGGTACGATTCTTCCAGATACGATTGTTGGTCAACATCTGCATGGAGAGAAATTGACTTATTACTATTTACTTACTGATGTTCACCACATCCTTACCGCGCGCTTTATCGTGATCTGAGCTTGTAAGAGATTAAGAACATGATGCAGTCACTCACCTCTTCTACCTCATCGATTCTAATGGAGAAATTCTTGCACCACTCATAGATGTCGTCCATCAGGCCCAGTGGCAAATCCTGGAACACATTTAAGACCATTAAGACTTGATAGATAATGCAAATTTGAGGAAGTGATCTAGAGTTGTCATGCATTTGAAACGTCCATCTAACTGCATGATTATTGACAATAACAGGGTAGTTCCAATTTCTCTTTCATTGCAAGATTGTTACAGTCCTACCGTTGCAGCCGTTACAACACAACCTTCCCTAACAAGTCATTTTGTCAACCCTCTGGAAACTGATCAACTGCTGTTTGCATGACCGTGTTAAAATGGATCCAAAGTAAAAACCACAATAGTTAGAACACTTTTTGCAGCAGGAAGCAGTGGCTTCTCTCTTCTACCTCCTCACATACCAAATAATGATGTCATCAGGTTTCAATACGTGCAGTAAAACACATGTTAATAACGCGCGCCAGAGAGTGACTCTACTGGTTGGAAAAACTTATGGATTTGATCAATTTAGAACAAAATTCAGGCCTTTTATCATTTATCATGGTTTATTGACTTACATATCCTTTTAGAGTTTTGTGTTAAAAAGCATTTGAATATTTAACAGAGTAGACCTTACCACATCATCAGCTCTGACGGAAAAAACAGAAATCAAACAAGACATTATTAAACAGCAGAAAATGATTGCTCCTACCTGATGCACACCACCAGGTCTGATGTATGCAGCGTGCATTCTGGCTCCAGACACTCGCTCATAAAACTCAAACATCTGAGAGGAAACAAGAGTCAGACAGTTAGAAGAACACAAAGGGCTCCAGCTTTGCTTTTTGCCACTGTATTGGACCTGAACTGGACATGGACGATTCTGCAGTAAATTTGCACTTTAACAAGAAACACTAATCGGAAGATAGGACCTGTGCAGTCCTTGAAGTTTAGTTGTGTTGTTTTGATTTGCTCTAGAATTCTTGGGGCACATATTTTCATAAACACAGCAGCAGCAGCAATCCTGACCTTCTCCCTCTCCTCGAACAACCAGAAGAAGGGGGTCATGGCACCAATGTCGAGCGCGTGAGTGGTGATGGCCATGATGTGGTTCAGGATGCGTGTCATCTCTCCATACAGCACTAAAAACACAACAAAGGACACATCAAGCTGTTTAGAGCTCAAATGGTGGTCAATTAATTATTAGTTCATTGCTAAACAATTACTGAGCACCAATTTAAACTTTGAACAAATAAAAAAATAATTTTCAAGCCAACGTGACAACGATTAATTGGCTCTTGCTTCTCAATGTGAAAATTTACCAATTTTATTTGTTTTCTCTGTGGTAAATTGGATTTTTACTGACTCTATGCGTGGACTTGCATCCTGTTTCTGGTATGTACCTCTGATCCACTGTGCACGGGGTGGAGCTTGGATGTTGAGCAGCTTCTCCACAGCCAGAGAGTAGGCCTCCTCGTTACACATCATGGAAACATAGTCCAGACGGTCAAAGTAAGGCAGAGCCTGAACCGAGCAGAGAAGAGGAACTGAAGCAGGACTTCCAAGAGGAAGGTGGTTATCAGAGCGTTATCATAGTCATCACCTCATCACTGACAATGTTTTGATTTTGTTTTTAGTAATGTCCACCATGTCATTTTAATTGTTTTCAAACCAAGGAAATACCCAGGTTAGCACCATCTACTTTTCACATAGGTCACTAGAACTCGATAGTATTCATTCTCCAAAAGTATCATACGTTAAGCTAATTTAACCACCAAAAACATACGGGTTAGAAAATACAGAGATATTGTAAGTGGTTCAATACCTGCAGGTAGGTCTTGTACTCTATGAGCTTCTCTGTGCCGCGGTGAAGCAGGCCAATGTGTGGGTCACACTTCTTGACTGACTCTCCACTGAGCTCCATCACAAGACGCAGCACACCGTGAGCTGCAGGATGCTGGGGGCCGAAGTTGATGGTCAGGTTGGACACTTCCTTCTCTGCAGGAGGATCCTTATCTGAGAGAAATAAATAGGACAAGATATGAAATATTAAACAGATTTGATTTAGCTATGCAACTGAGCTGTTACCTTTCATCAAACTTGTACCCATTCAGCCACAGAAGAAGCTGTTCAAAGTATGCAATCAGGTGTAAATCAAGTGTAAATATGAACAATAATATGTTTTAGCTTTCATACATTTGTCAATGAAATGTTTTACATTTCAATTTGACTTAAATATATCACAGCTTATAGGTAAATAATAAAAGGAGATTAATAATCCTTTAACCAGTGGCCTGAAAAGTGTCACTGTGTGTGTGTACCATTCCATGGTGGTGGGACCCAATTCTCATTAATGGCAGTGGGGTACATCACTGCCCCAGCAAACTGCTCCGTCCACTCCACATCTGGCTGCCATTGTTTCTGCCTGTGAAAAACATAGAAAGTGTTGTTACTATGAGGTGAAGGTGTCAATTTTGCAGAGCAGATCAACAAAGATCATTAGAAATACATGAACAATCAAACTGCCTGCATGTTTCTTATTATTTTATTGAAGCTTTCATTTGAAAGCAACAACGATCTGGTTGACTCTCTGCCCTGCCAACTAACTTTCAGACGATGGAGCCATGAAGAGATGATACATCGTCTTAATAAAACAAATAGGTTTACGAATGCCACCTGGTGCAATACTGCAGAACATGACTTCGATTTACACATGTAGTTATTGAGCTTAAAGTCAATCAGAACCCCATACGATCAAATATTAAATTTGGTGCTGCCCAAAAGGAACAAATCCATCACAAACAAAACAAATATGATTTTAAAGACAGGTAATTGTTTTTAATTGATTAACTGTCTTTGTTTGTGAGCAATTGACATAACAGGTCCTAGATAGCAGCTTAGATAGCAGCTTAGTCTTCCACACTGGTCAACTACACTGCTATGTAATCCACAGCCACATCAGCAGAACATTGCCAGTGTCATCTGAGCCCAGAGGATGCACCGAGTGTTGGATAAACACTGACACACGTTGGCTAGCAGTGGGAAGGCTAACAGCCCCCAGCCTACCTAGCATGAGGGCTAACAGAGCACCGCAGCCTAAGCGACCTGTTAAGAATGACATCCCCGCAGTTACAATGTGCGTGTCTCATGCAATTTAAGCACAAAGAATAGCAGAGGACTCGTAATATCCTGAAGTCGGCTTAATTAGCATTATGCTACCATGTTATCTTCGGGGCTCGGGCTCCTGCTGCACACGGAGCGACGCGTGTGGTTCTTTTATTTTTGTAAACTCACCTGCTCTGCAGAAGAGAACAGCCAGGGCTGAGCAGATTGTTATTTAATATTACTTTGGTTGAAGGACGTCCCAGTTTAGTAAGCGACCTCAACATTGTGGCCGCCATCTTGGCTGTCGGACAACCTCTGGCCAATGACGTAAAGGAGATTCTTCTTCTCTTGTTTCAGAAGCGCAAGTCAGAAAGGGTGTGGCTGCCACCTACAGGCAGTAATCATCCCGAAACAGAAAGTACTTATTTATGGGCAGTGTAGTTTTTTTCACAACTGAAAACTGTTTTATTGTCTTTAACCAAACTCTGCCATAATTAACATTTATTCATTTTTCTTTTTATTATTTTACACATTTCTATTTGTATTATTTGAATTATATTTCTCCCTTTAACTTGTTTTTTAATATATACAGATGATATTTATTTAACCTTTTTCATGTCTTTTATTTCACTTGAAAATAGTTTTAAACTTTGCTTTTTGCTTTTAAATTGATTGCTCTTAACTGTCTTTGTTATTTTGTTATCTCTGGAAATGTCTGTGTAYGACATTCGCTTTAGAAATAAACTGCCTTGTCTCTCCTTAAAATTAAAATAGGATGAATATAGAATCATTGTCAGACCTGTGTTTAACTTCTAGAACAGTGAAAAACATTTGCCAAGAGAGAATAGAAAAAATGAGATGTATTGATTTCTATTTCTCACATTATTATTTTAGTGAAATAATATCTCCTAAACGTGTGCAATCATATACCTGGCATAATTCATATGGATAGTATTTGTAGGCTATGATGTGAATACATCAAGTATATGATATTTAAGGTATATTTAAAAATAATATAATTCTTTAAAGAAGAATAGAAAACAGGTTTATTTGGCCTCTAATACCCATCGGCTTAAAGATGACAAATTCTGCATTTTATAAAAAACAGTGCTTTTATTTATGTAATACTGTGGAAAAATAATTACATACCATTTTTAAAAAATATTGAAGATAATGAAATTAAAAAATGAGAGTTTAACGTTCGTTGTACATCTGTTGAACAGTTTTCTCTGCTACGAAGAACAGTACAATAAGATAAACATTGGATTTTTCTAAATTCAAAGACACAATAATACAGGATACAGTCCTACCAGAGGTATAAAAGTACTGTAACAGGATTGTGAGCGAAATGATATGGACATATACAGAAACACACACCCACACACATGGACACATACATGCACGCACGCATTCTGTATACACACTGACATGCATACAACAGCCGCGCGCACACACAAGTCGAGCACTGCGTGTTTACAGATTCCGTCCCACACACACGCAGTCATTCACACGTCTATACAAACACACTGTACAAATCGATGTGCGCGCCAACGCCCACACACTCCCTCTTGGTCTGTTTTTCTCTCTCTCGCTCACACTCGCACACACGCTCACTCTCATACACCACTACATGTCAATATTGTGGACAAGCCTTCAATGAACCTCTCCATACACATTCTCCTCTGGCTGTTTTTTGGCAGACACACAATGAGGAATGATTCAAAATGGAAATGTATGACACGTTCCCCTATAAGGCCACTCAGTTCTCAACCCTAACATCTGTGTTTTTCTCTCCGGCCGCACCAGGCTTGTAGTTAAGAGCTCAGAGGGAAAAAAAAAGGCTCCAGCCTACGTCTGGGAATGACTAAAGGCCCCCGAGCCTGGCGTTTAAAGCGACTCTTGCCGATAGAAGGAGCTTCTACTGCATATACACGGTCTAAGGTGAAGAAAAACATGAACACTTGGCACTAGGTTTCGTTCAGATGCTGATATACCTTTCTGATGCCTGATTTCAGGCTCTGTTGTTGGCACGACTCTTTACTCTGTCTCAGTGGGTTTCCCTTCGGGGAAATCACCAGGGTTATGTGCACTCACGTTCAAACTTTTGGTCCATACATACACATTACATGTTTTACATTGACAAAAATAATTCTGTAATGTTAAAAAATAGAATACAAAGCTCTAGTCTGGTGTGCAAATAAAAAGAGGACATTACACAGATATAGATAAGGGACGTCCAAGCACGAATACTGTAGATGAAGTGCAAAATGATGACAACCCTCCCAAACCCCCATCCCCTGCCCAATACACTGCTCCACGCTGCCTAACAGGCATGATGGCATGTACCACTGTACAGAAGGGCATTCTGGGATACTATATATATGTGCTCTATGATTGTTGAATAAGACAACCAGCAAAAAAAAAAAGGCGGCCAGAAATGACTTCAAATGTTTGAGGTTTTTCCCAAACCATCTTTGACAGTTTGCCTTAAGACGTTCACTCTCATCATTTACAAAGTTGATCCATAGCGAAGGCTATGAGCTCCAAAGATCTGTGATCTCTCCTCCTCTTCTCTGGTTATCGCTCTTGTTCCCAGTCTTGATTGTGACTTGCGCCGTCCGCTCTTTCAGAGCTCAGATATACAAACACATCGGGAGTGAGGGAATTCAAAACTGCGTGGAATTTCCCTTCCCTGTCTCACTAAAGCTCCCTCTCCCCCACTCGTCTTTTTCCTCTCTCTGTGCCTCTGCATTTCTCGTACCCTCCCTGTCTCATGGGCATGGTCTTCTGACTGTGCATGGGTGTGTGTGATGTTATTTTTTGTGTCCTGTAGTCGTGTATGTGTTCAGTAGGATGTGTTTGGCGTGTGAAAATGTGCGTGTAAATCTGTGATTGTGTGTGTTTCTAGGTGTGACGCTATTTATAAGATGCTTCCTCATGCTCAGCTAAGACTGTGAGGTGGTTCTGCGTCTCTGTCTCACACGTGAGTCTGCATCCTCTGTGTGTGTCGGCTGTGGGAGTAGTCAGAGTGTTGCGAGGTGTAAGAGAAGCGAGTGGAGCTGCCATACTTCCCGAGTCCAGTCTCTGATCCCGAGGGAGGTGGGCCCCCAGGACTGACCCCTACCCCAGGGGCCCCCACACCAGATCCCACCCCGTACATCTCATAGGATGGGCCGGCCTCCAGCGGGGCCAAGCTGGATGGGGCGAAACCCATACGGTAGGTCTGGTAATGCGAGGGGTATCCGTAGTTGTCGTAGGCCAGCTGGGAAGTGGAGTCCAGGAGGCTGCAGTCACCTGGGAAGTCGCTGGCTGCAGGGGCGGGGTTGGCAGGGGGCTGCTGGCTCTGGCCCCCACGAGTGAAGGTGTTGAACTGCGCGTAGCTGATGTGGGACAGTCTTGAGGGGGGTCGGGGGTCGTAGCAGGCCTGGGGGCGGCCGGGGGAGGTAAGGGGTCCAGGGGGACCGGGGGCTCCTCCACTGGCTGTGGCTCCTGAGCCTCCCGCACTGCTACTTATGGATGCAGCTCCCCCTGGTGTTCCTGTAGGGGAGCGGTAGTCGGAGTAATGCATGGTGGAGCGGGAGGCAGGGCGGCCTTCATCGTGGGTGGAGGCTCTAACGTTGTAGTAGCCATTGGTCGGGTCCTGGAAACACAAAGAATGATACGAAAATGATATGATAATGAGATTTATGGTCAAAATCATTTTATTCAGCGTATAAATATAATGTAAGTATGTTATCTCTTCTGATTCCCACAGAGAAACCTTCTCTTATAGAAGGTCAGAGGTCAGGGGGAGCTGCACGCCTCAAGCTGCTCAGCATCCAGGTATGGATTTATTAGGACTGTGATCTGTGAGGGCAGTTGGCTCTGGCGTTTTTTGTGACTCAGCTACTTGAGTTTTAACCCTTTTTTCAGAAATATATGCAAATTAAGTTGAGGAGAAAAATCGGGCTCTGAACAACAGCAGCGGCACTCACTGCACGAGCAGATTACAGTCACAGTTACACAAGTAATCCATCCAGACTGGCATCACAGAGCACAATCTGAGAGTGCGTCAGATTAGAATAGTGCAAGTTTGCTGACATGGAAAAAAGGGTTATTATTATTCTCTCTTATTATTCTCTTATGGTAAATACATATACTGTATAGTATATATACTAACTTTCTATGTAGACTGCTTTGCATTTGGCACATAAGAAATAAAGAAATTAATGCACTGAACTGTTTAGTTCTGACAGTTCATGTCAGTCAAACAGCAAATTTGGAACAGCATTGTCCAATGACCTTACAGTGGGAAAAGAAAAGTATTTTCTTGTTTTATTTGACATACTCTCGGTGCTGTCTCACCCACATCTACATCTGTTTTAGTTTTTTCTGGCTGAGAGCAGCTCCTCAATTTCCTTTGGAAATAGGATCCAACATAAGCAAGCTCGAAAAAAAGAAAACATGTCTTGGTATGTAAACAGAGTTTTTTAGCTTGACTTCAGTCTGTCAAGTTTCCAGTGGGAGAAAACTGCACATGCAAAACCTGCTTTGGATGGAATTCTCACAACTTTCACTTTTTAGAGTTAACAAGAGAAATCAGAAATTAAAATGTCAGCGTTAAACTCCAGGCCTCTTCAGCAGAGTGGATCCCTGCCAGCACGCAGGGTCATAGAGGAAGAACTCTCCCTGCTCACTGCACCCCCTGCTGAACGCTCAAATGTTGCTTTACAGCTTTTTCTGACATGATTCCGCCATCTCCTTGCCTCAGATGTAGGCAGACTTTCTCCCCCAACCAACTTTGCTTCACTGCTTTGCGGCTCCGGGCAGCAGGAAGTAGAAAGAAAAAACCCCAGGCTGGCTGAGGCCGTTGTCGGGTGATCTAAACAACTCCTGGGGTGGATTCATGTCTGAATTTGGCAGCTTTACGCGTGAAAATACATTCATCACCTTAGTGCAACCCCGCGGTGTCAAAACGTATAAATGATTCATGCCAGCTGAATGGGCAGAATGCGCCTGAACTTCCTTTGTTCTTTTTCATTAGTTTTTTTTTTTTCACAAGTGCTGCCTTTAAATATCTTCGAAACGATTGCGCCAGATTTGTAAGTAATCAGAGTCAGAGCCTCCCGGGTTGACCTGAGAGCGAAGGGCAGGGAGAGAGCAGAAATTAAAGAGGGACTGACCGCACTGCAGAATGTTTTTGTCTTAAATATCCCACTCTGTTGTTCTCACAGATATTGGGTAACGCTCAGTTTGAAGAAATTCAAAGACAAAGAGACGATCAGCACAGGAAACTGGAAATACTGTGAGGTCTCCATTGGATGTTTTTGTTGATAAATCCAAATGACAATCTTGCTCAAAATCAGAAAAGTCCTTTCCTAAAACTTTTCACTTTCTGCCGACTACCCGTTGCCCAGAGGAAACAAAGCAGCTAAAGCCAGAACCCATCAAACTGTAGAATGAGGAAAAGTAAAACATCTATCTGAGGGAGGTTTGTGTCGATATGGAGGAAAAGTCATCGCCTGGCATGTGTTCTGCTACAGTTTCGTAATGAACCAAAAACATATTTTTCACTCCTCAAAATAACATACGAGATCTGACTCATGGAAAAAATTACAGCACATTCTTAAATTAAGTACATTTCTACCCTTTCGAAACTTAGTCTTGAACCTTCTTAATTACAGATGCAATTGTTTTATGAAGCTTTATTTATATTTTACATGTTTGGGCCTGGTTATTTTAACTGTAATGTCTAACATGAATGGATTTTATTTGGCATTTTAAGGTTGAAATGTCATGTTTTTTTAATTGTTCTAATCCAAACTTTTTCTTAAACGTGTTTTATTTAGGTCAATTGTGAACTTGTTTATTAGAATGCCTCTATGTTGTTGTAAAACTGCAGCAGACGTTTACTTATTATTTTTTCGCAAGAAAAAAAATCCATACTTCTTTACAGCACCACTGAAGGGTGATTGATCAGCTTTATTATGAATGTGATGATATCAATCGATGTACTCATTCAGGATCATATATTTATGAATCAGGGTTAGTTTCAACATAAAAAATTTAAGTGCACTCCCTCTGGGTGTATTTCCCTCAGCCTGGCATCTCAGTGTCAACCTGTTGTGACGGCAGAAGAGTGCGTCACTCAGAGTCCTGGTGTCACTCATGATTAGGGTTTTTCAAAACCTTTGAGATATAATTAGAATGAAACCTTTGTCACAAATGAACTCCACAAGACCTCACTGTGACGTCAGTCTGATTTCATGTCAGTGTTCTGTATCTGTTACATATGTTTTTCAACATACATTTGATTTGAACCCTTCTTAGTGCATTCTAGGTCTTTTTATAGGAAAAAAAAGTTGCTTATTTAGGCTTAATTCTACTTTGGAAACTTCCAGTGATCATGTTTGTCCCAGGTCAGATTCATCATCATGATTATTGATTATATAAAAGAATTGTGTCGCTTAATTATGATCCTGGAACCTGAGGGAAAAGTAACAGTGCACACACACAAACTGACTCCGCTGCTCTCTCTCTGTATGTGTGTCTCTCTCTCTCTCCCTCTCTCTCTCTCCGCTGACGTCTCTGACTTGCTACAGTTTAAAAGTCTGTGATCGTGTGTGTTTCTAGGTGTGACGCTATTTACAAAGTTGATATTGTTAAATAACTTTTCAGGGTCAAAACACGGATGAAAAGACCCCAAATTAACACGATGGGTGGACTTAGTGGAGCTGTGCATGGCTCCCTGGTGTCCGGCCCAGACCCGGCGGAGCTGCGGCCGGGCTGTGCGCCTCCTCCCGCCAATGGGGCAACCCGTGGTCTCTGCGTCCGTAGGCAGGGACCGTTTATGTTTATCTATTGCAAGTCATATCATCATCTCAATATTAAACAGCCTTATGGCATATTTTCCTAATATCATGCAGACCTATCGTGCGTCAACTCCACTGAACAGCTGATGGTACACATGTTGAAAAAAATCAAGGGGCATTAAAAAACGTTCTAATTTCAGCTCTGTTGCTAGGTAACAGCAATAAGGGCTGGATGAGCTGGAGACCCGATCACATAAAATCCTCTGATGACCAGATCATCTCATTTCAGTTCAGCCTTCGCAGTCTATGTGGCCCACGAAGGAGGCGGTCTCTAAAATGCGTCTAAAATGCTGCAACTGATTACATGCGTAGGAGATGAGCTCATATTCAAACAACTCCTGTCTACACTGACACATGCATTCCTATTGTACATGAGTGGTCACGTGAAATGCATCTTCAGGCCTGACTGACCAAACTGAGCCTAAACGCTTGTGTGGACAGAGAGTGTTTTCTCACCTTTAGGTCGTACTCCTGACGGGTGTCCAGGGTGTCACTGCGGAGGTCAGACTTGAGCTCTATGTCATCTTTAAATGGCTGATTGGAGGGAGAGAAGGACACAGAGGGGAGAAACTAAACGGTCAAACAACAAAACAAATATGGAAAAAGAGGAGGAAAAAAGGAGGAGGAAGGTGATAACAAAACAGAAAAGAGGGAAGGAGGTAACGAGAAGAGAAAATGGAATTATACGTGTTAAAAAAGAGCGATTACAGGGGAAAGCATTGAATTTGTTTTTAGTCAGAAGGTGTAGTGCAGGGAGAGGTTGCTGAGTTAATCTGAGGTTTTTCCTAAGACTGCAGGCTGTGTAAACAGAGTCCAACACAAACACACACACACACACATCCTGCTGCTGCCGCTCACCGAGTACATGGCCTTGACCATGCGCGAAGCCGTGGACACGCTGCCGGAGTCCTCCTCTAAGCTGTGGGTCTCCTTGGTTATCGTCTCCACCTTGATGTCGGGCTTACCCAGCGTGACCCCGCGCCGACCTAGAAGCAAAACACAGCAAGGTTGAATGCAGCTGGAGACACGCACCTCGGCCGGCGTGCTTTCACGAGCTGGAGGAGCAGGTTCAGAGGGAGCGCCTATATCCATATGGTGAGGAGGAAGTTGTAGTTTAGGCCTCACGATGAGCATTTGTACCAGATCGTAAAAACTTCTGCTGAACTTGCAAGATGCTGCTCCCTGTTCCTATTTAAAATCCAGAGATGACCCTGCTTTTGAGGTTCCTGGTTGAAAACTTTAAAACAGCCTCCATCTTTCCATCAGATCATCAAATTATCTCTATGCATATATTGTAACTCAGCTTCAGGAAATTCCAAGAAAAAACATCTTACTGACCCTGTTTTTAGACATTAAGCAATCAATTCCATATAATACATGAGCATCACAGTGTTGTGCGTAAGTAAAACTAGTTTTCACAGATCAGCCTTTTAATAACAAATCTACATTATTGTTTATTTTGGTTGCATGCTTAATTAATGTGTCTTTGCATCAGTTTATTCTCGATTGTGAGTTGTATGTATTCCTCTTTTTGAAATGTGTGTATTTTAAACAATATATCAAGCACATTGTAACTGTGTTTGAATAAATGCATTAATCATTTAATTTATCATTGATGAATGTGTTATATTGTACGTGTAGTGTATGACTCACTGCCTTTGCGCTGCAGGTAGAAGATAAGAACGAGGACCAGCAGGAAGATGAGCAGGAGGATGGTAGAGACCACTATCCAAAGAGCAATTAATCCTTTCATGTCCTCCTCTGAAATGAAGGGGAGAGAAGGAGATGGTGAGAGAAGGAGATGGTGAGAGAAGGAGATGGTGAGAGAAGGAGATGGTGAGAGAAGGAGATGGTGAGAGAAGGAGATGGTGAGAGAAACAGCGACATGAAGATAACAAAAGATTTTATGTGAGAAAAACACCAATCACACATCATCTGCCCCTGAGCTAAAGTCAGAAGCATTTTCCTCATCCAAACTGCAGGACCTAAGACATTGTATGGTTTGCTGAACTCACTATTCTCCTCCAGCGTGATGATCATGGTGCCGGGGCCGAACGAGTTCCAGGCCGTGCAGTTGTAGGTGGACAGGAAGTCGGACTCCATCACGTTGTTGATGGTGAGGGTGGAGAGGACGCCGCCGCCCTCGGCCGACGATTTGCTCTGCTCCACCGTGTACCTCTCCAGAAGCGTCCCCTTCTCCTTCTCCCACACGTTTTCCTTCCACGCCCACACCTGCAACGCACACACACACACACATCCAGTCAACATGCCGACATTCACTCATTTTCATGGTACGTTTTCGGTGTTATATCAATGGAAGCATATCATGTGAGAATATATGCTGCTACTCAGACCCACATTTATTAGATGGTCATAATGCTCACTGACACATGACTGAACATAACAGAAGACAACTGAAATGAGAAGATCTTAACTTGAACATTGAGGATGAATAGTAATGTATCTGTGATGTGTGTATCGGAGACCTCAGTGCAGCCAATTGTTAAGGCATTTACTGTGGAGGTGGGGAATTTTATGTACATGTTTGAAAGGCATGGGTCAGCATTTTAGGAGATGCCATGTGCTTATTCGCCTTCTTGCTGAGAGTTCAAAAAGAAAATTGATGGTAATAAGAAGTAAATGTGAAGCTAAAGCCACAAACCAGCACCTCTACAGGTGGTGTTCAGAGCCAGACTGCTGGCAGTGGCTCCATAGAGGTCCACATCTTCTTATATTACTATTGGCAAGATAGTGAATATGTTTATTACCCACAATGTCCAACTATTCCTTTAAGAACAGGCCTATTACTCTCTTCTTAAAAATATATTAGTGTGGTTTAATGGGCTGGCATCTTGTGTCCAGTATGTCTTCTTTAAAAATTATAAAAAACATTTTTGTTGGCTATTTCAGAGGTGTGTTAAGCAAGTGCAACAATCATCAGACCCAAGTTCACCACTTTTCACAATAAAGGCTCTGATATTCAGCTCAATATAAATAATTGCAGTCGATACTTTGAGGACAAAATGCCAAACAGGAAGCTACTCAATGAATGTTGCTGCCATGACCAGCACCTGTGACTCCCATGAACATCAGTCTTAATGGTGAAATCAAAATAATCAGGTTGTCAAAATGAGAAGAAGAATATTCAATGTGCACAGACTGGCCTACACCCACTGATTACTACCAAGCACTGGTCGGCTGTTTATTCATGGTTTATTAATATTGAACGCATTGCCGGTTCAAATCACAACAAATTCCGCACTGTACTACCCTGGAAAATTAAGAATACACATGCAAAGTGTGAAGCCGATAGGATGAACGCTTGGTGAGATATGCCTTTCACATACAGACAGGCGTTTGTGGAACCAGTAGGTCGATGCTTCGTGAAAAGCAACATATGACTTGAATATATACTACAGACGTGCATGACAGAAGAAAACTGCATAAATATACATCGAGTACATGTTAATGTACACGTTGCATGATTTCATCCAAGAAGCAACAGTTTGTGTGTTTCTGCAGACACAAGTGAAGTTGAATCTCGCACATTCTCCAACTTTAAAGCCACTAAAAGCAGCTCTATTATTCAGCATTGAAGTACTGTACGCAGGCCAGTTAATTATGCATAAGCCCACATGTTCCCATAATGTGCCCACTTATTCCAGAGAAGGAGAAGCTCCTGGCTGAGGCGTTTACTGGGACAACTGTTCCTCTCCAGTCCTTTATATTTTATAAATCTTTTTCTGTCCCAACCTCTGCCACTTGCATTAGGAGCGCGCACTGCAAGTCAGAACGGATCAGTAACAGGGGGGAGGCGAGGAGCTTCCACTGCCGCTGCGTCTCGGCGATACAGCCAAGTGAAGAGAGCATCCAAGCTGATTTCTGACGCAGGAGCTAAAAGCGGAGCGGCTTAGTGTTAGTTTGTTTATGTGATGGGATGGAGGAACATTCTGGGAGAGTTTAAGGGTGAGTCACCGCTCAAAAGGAAAAAAGGGGACAGCACCTAAAAGCACTTGCCGTGCAGGAGCGAGAGCCATTTAGGAACAGGAAGGTACAGTATCAGTAAAACACAAATCCCTGTCAGACTAAAAGCTACAACCTTGTGCTCTTTGTGACCAAAGCTTTTCCTTGCTCTGCAGTTTTTGTCTGAATAATTGACGCTGGGGTCAAATTTATAAATTTCAATTGTGGATTTGGTGCCAGAAAGGTTTTATATCCTTGTCATTTCATTTTCACTTACAATCTTATCCGGAGGAGGCATACTGGCGATGTAGCACTTCACCTCGCCTTTCTCTCCTCTCACTGCGTACTGGACGGGCTCACTGGAGATGAAGGGAGGACCTGCATTGGTCAAAACGACAGGACACATGAGTGCATGACAGATAAAATCCAGCAAAGTGCAAGAATTATATTCAATCCATGTGGTTTCTAAAGACAATGACCTTAGCCGGCCTGTTCAAGAGGCTTTTATATGATTTTTTTAAATAAACGACCTTCACTTTGGACATTTTTTTTATTTACTGACAAGCTGACCTTTTTGAAAGAACAAGATTTTCATCCACTAAAAGTGATACATGAAATTATGTGGATGTTTTCTGACCGTTCACAGTGAGCGTGACCTCAGTCTCTCCTACTCCAATCCGCGGGACGATGGCCTTACAAACGTACTGGCCGGCGTCCGCCTGGCTCACTGACTCCATATGCAGATTGTTGCTGTTACTCAGAACCTGTGGGGGAGTGAAAAAAAGATATAAATGAGGGAAATCTGCTCAGCAGCGGGAGGCGATAAACAAAATCAAACATATGTTGAAGAGAGCGAATGCATTGTGATACCTCCACCTGTACACTTTATTATTTTATGTTGCATGTTTTAAAGTCTGGCTGTAATTTCAGGACATATGCTCTAATGCTCCGACCCTAACTGGCTGACAATGCAAACTTGCACATCTGCTTTTAACTCATCACAAAGGGTTTGCAGTTGCCTGGCAACCGCATCCATCAGAAAATTAGTGTGAAAATGATGGCTAAATATGTAACCACCCAGTAAGAGAGAGAGAATCCCCTGAACCAAGCTGATTATAGAGATGAGGTCACATCAGTCCACAACGCTCTGAACCGTAACTTCATATAAGTCAGTATATGTAACCTGAACACACTGCATATTGGTCCACCAGGCAGGGAGTCATTATATTGTATTAAGCTTCTGGCTGGTGCGACACAGCAGATGTTAACAACAAAACAATAGTTAATAGTTAATGTAACTTTAATTTAAAAAGTGGTTCTTGCAAAACCTAGTGGATAAAAGAAAAGTCCTTTCCTTGTCAAGGGCTAGATGAGAAGAGTGAAAATGGTTGTTCAAGATGACCAATATGGCTGCCAAACAGTGTATGATGTCATCTTATATCATCTTAAATCCTTCCTGCCCTCTTTCTGTTTCTGCTGCAACATTTCAATTTAGAAGGATAGACGAGCCGTACTACCAGTGGGTCAACTCATCCAATCCAATTCAATATGAATTGATCAAATCAGAGAAAAAGGAAAGAATGAAAGTGGAAAAAAGAGATTGCAAAGGTAAAAGGAGAAGAGCGATATTGAAGGGTGATAATACCCAGGCTGGTTTTTCCTGAATATGAGGTCAGAGGAGACGTGTGCCTCGGCTTCTCACCATGTTTGATCCCTTTTTGAACCACGTGAGTGTGAGCGGAGGGTTCCCCGCCCATTTGCAGTTGAGGGTGACATCGGCGTTGACGTCGACTGTTTGAGGCTGCGGCTCCACCAACAGGATCGGACCGACTGCAGATAAAAAGAGAGGGGGAGCAGGTTTGCGATTTGTTTTTATTGTGTTTGAGTAATAATGCAGTCGGACTGAAACGAAAGTAAAGCACAACGGCGGTGTGTTTCTTCCCTCTGACTCCACAATGCAGTGAAGTGGGTCACGAGTGAGTGAACACGGCGAGATGAGTGCTGTGTGACTCACAGTGGACGTCCACCAGGATGCTGACGTTGGTCTTTCCCACTGCGTTGAAAACCAGACAGGAGACAGGCTCGGTGAAGAAGGAGTGGTCCGCCTTGGTGGTGAACACGCTCTCCCTGGCGCCCTGCAGCACCACGCCACCTTTAGCCCACCTAGGATTTAGAGAGACACATTTACATACATAGGAACAACGTGTGGCACAAGTGAAAACATTTAACAATGCACACTCTTGAGAAGCCAAGTTTGAATCCACAATCAATTTTTTTTTTATCTTACAAAACTATACAAAAAGCAACACTGTAGCTGTCACTTTAAGAGGCCCGGTGAAAATGAGAAGCGGTCTGAGAGTGGAGGCTGACCTGTAGCCCATAATAGGAGGGTTGGCGTGCGCCTGGCAGGTGAAGGTGACTCGTTCCCCCTCCATGACAGAACGCGGCTCGATGGACAAGGTCACTGTCGGTGGATCTGAGAGAGAGAAAGAGAGAGAGGGGGGGTTGCTTACTACATCTAATATATGCTGCAATCTGGAGGAGTGTCTGATGCAAAATGGCTGCCACGCATTACTTAGTAACAGCTTTAAAAACATTTAGCATGATGATAGAAAATTATACATATTTTGCCATATAGCGACATAAAAGTATAAGATGACAAAAACAGACTTTGTACGTTAAAACATGACGTTTTTCTCTGTTTGTTGATGATGTATTTGAGATTAAAAGCAGCTTTTCTCACGGTGGACGTTGAGCGTGACAGTTGTCATTTTGCCGCCGGGAATAGCCAGGTTGGTGGCCACACAGCTGTAGTTCCTTCCAGTGTCGGTGTCGACAGGGTGGATGGGCAGGTAGCTACGTGTGGTCACTCTCTTCCTGTCTGGCAGCACCTCCTGATAATTGATCATGTGATTTTAAATGCAGCTCATGAATGTATGAGTGTAGCGTGTGTGGGTGCACGTGTGGCTTACAGTAGCACTGGCGGCCCCGTTCACAGGCAGACCGTCTTTGAGCCACTCGACCATCGATGGCGGCTTCGCCCCTCGAGACACGCAGCTCAGGTTGTAGGACTCGCCGGCGTTTAGCAGCACCTCAGGACCCCCATCGATCACCGGGTCATCTGGGGGGACTGGAGCAGGACAGAGGGCCGCATTAGAAAAACGCAACAGCCTCACAAGCTGAATGTTAGACGTACACATGAGCACACAAACGTACTGAGGACAGTGAGTTTGGCCCTTCTGGACCTCAGCGCTGCATCAGGGGCCTGACACTCGTACACGGAGTCGTCGGACAGGTCAGCTGACTGGATCTCCAGATTGTACTGCCCCAACTCTTGCACAGGCAACACACGGTACCTGGGCCAGGCTGGAGCACACAGACACACACAGCAGATTAAATAAACACACAAACACGAGGATCATCTTTATGATGCTGTTTAAATGCTTTACCTTTTCCTAATCTAGTGCTACTACTGGCTGAAGTTGAATGTATGTCACTATATCGTCAAGATTCGAAATTCCAAATCCAAACTAACACATCACATGTGTCAGGACAAATGACACCAGATAGACGCAAGGGAAATGATGCACAAACACAAACGCATGACCAAACATACACATTCACACAGCACAATGCACACACACGCACACACACACACACA